CACCACCCAGAAAACAGACACCACACTCTAGGTACAGTGCTGAAACAACCACTGGAGCCGGAGCACATAAATGGTGCCTATAGCATCAGCTGAAGAACTGATGGGTGGATAGCCGGCGTGGGAGGTCTGGGGCTCCCCCTTCCCCCTTCCGGGGAGGGGGGAGCTGCGCAAACAGCGGCGCGGTGATGTGTGACGTCATACTAGTTTGCTTGTTTTCTGTTGAGGAGTTCTATCCACTAGTTCAACTTTAGGTAGCAATTTTCACCCGAATAGGGGTTTGTTTTGGAATGCTTACCTTTCTGGATGCTTGATCTGGTTGATGTCAGACATAGAATGCTCCCAACCACACTGGGGTTTCTATAGGCCTTTGCTCCCCTTGCCTCTCTGAGGGGGCCAGGTTCTGGCTGTGGTCCCCGGTAGGCCCTAGAACTCCATACACATGACTAATGCCAAAGTCTGACATTAGCATATCAGCCTGGTAAAGCTCCGGGGAGCCGACGGGGCTCCCCCCAGAAAGAGAAAGGATAGCAACAGAGAACAGGGGAGAAACAAAGGTGAAGGAGGAACACAGCACGTTAAAGAAGCTCAGGGTCAAGATTAGGATCAGCCCAGTCAGGGTTAGGGGGCATAGGTAAACTGAGCAAAGATGGAGGGAAGGGAGCGGGAGAACAGACCAGAAGCGGACGAGCAGGCTCCGGAGGAGGAGGAGACAACTGAGAGGGGCAGTCAAGGACAGCAGGAGGAGGAGGAGGGGCAGAAAGAGAGAAGCACACCTCAGCAAGGGCAGCAACTGAGAGGGAAGTGGGGGCCAAAGAAACCTCCATAGCAGGAGCAGGGGGCGCGGCCACCGAAACGGGAGATGATGGAGCGAGTGAGTCAGAGGTAGGGGACGAGGAAGAAAGGGAAGCCTTCTTACTCACCAGGGAGGAGGAAGGAGAGGAGCCAAGCTTTTGCTTCTGACTCAAAGAGACAGGCGTCCCAGCAACAATGTACTGGGCAATAGAATCAAGCATCTCAACAGGAGAAGCAGAATGAGGGCAAACAACACGATGACAACTGGGAGAGCGATGGACATCAGCCCGCACAGACAACTGGCGTGGAGAGCCAAGAGACAGAGGAGAAGGATGAGGAGGATCGAAGGGAGACGATGAAGAAGACACAGGAGACATAACAGACTGGGCAGAAAGAAGGGGAACCCCAGACTGAGAACCATGAGGGGGACCCTTCGGGACAGAACTCAAAGGAACAGAGGAAATGGCGGTGAGCGTGTCTGGGTCTAAGGCCCGGAAACGGTTGTGAGACGGAGGAAGGTGGGAAGGACAAGGAGAGGAAGAGCGCAGCACGCGAGCATAAGAGACGTTAACATAAGGTGGGAGACGGCGAACTTGGCGGCTCGCCTCAGGAAAAGACAAACGTTCCCGGTGCTTCAAGTTGAGGATGGCTACCTCAAGCTTGTAATGTATACATGCATGGGAGAAGGTAGGGTGGGCCTCACTGCAACTGAGGCAGCGAGCCTGGGAAGAAGTGCACTCCGACTTAGAGTGACCTTCGCCCACACAAAGGACAGAGAGAGAGACAGTTCCAGAGCAGCGGAGGGCACCATGCCCAAACCTCCGGCACTTATTACAGAGCCGAGGAGAGGGAATGTACTCCTGGATAGAGCACCTGGCACCAGCAAGAATTGCAGAGGGCGGAAGGGTCCTACCATCGAAGGTAATCTTCACAACCCGAAGGAGCTGACGGCGACGACCACGAGGGGGACGAGTAAACGTGTCTACCTGGAGGACAGAATGGCCCTGGGCTTTGAGGATATGCCAAATATCTTCGTGGCAGTCCTGTAGATTCTGAACACCGGTGGCAACATGGGGCGGGAGGAGAACAGCGCCAACACTGGCATTCAACTGAGCTTTCTTGGAGACCCGAACAGGGGTCTCACCATGGCAGGATAAGGCAGCCAAGCGGGCGGCTGCATCCTGAGAAGGAGCAGCAACTACATGTGTACCAAGACGGGTGGGGATAAAAGTAACAGAGGCATCTACTGAATCAACAAGGTGCCTATCGAGGGAGAAATCGTCAGGTGTAGAATCCAGAGGGAGTAGATCAAAGTATTTGGCCCACGAGGCGGGACCAAACAAGGCTTGGTACGCCTCAGTATGGGAAGGGAACGTGCCAGTGCGGCCGTGGCGTGGATGGCGCTGAGAACCCCCAGAGAGCGGTTAAAAGCTGCAGTAGTCACAATAAGAGACTGAGCTGTGCCAGGGTACAACGAGGTGGTCACCAATGGGGGCTTGTGGCTTAACCCATCCACTGATGGAGGGGAGCCGAGGGGAGTAGTCAGGAGGGTCAAAGGAGGAGCAAGGTCAGGGCCCAATGCAGCGGGGGCTACAGAGCCTGGTCTTCCAACACGGTCTGACTTTGGGGCTTGGTCGCCCACTCCATGAGCCTGAGAAGGGATAAGAATAATGGAATTTGACATGAAATGACAGTCAGACATTAATTCACGAATGTGCCCCCATACCCACCATGGAGCCACAATTAGAAGCAGGACACCCAACAAGAAGCTATCGCCGATCATGCCGAGGCCCCCAAGGGGTGCGTCATGAGCATATGCCCCACAAATGCCACCTTAAGAACCGTCAGTCTGTCGAGATTGGGTTCACTGACAAAAGGAGGATTGACAATAAAAGGGTCCCCTGGCTCTCAACATCGGGTACTACAGTTCTACGGGTGCAAGAGTATGCCTCCTCAAACACCCGGGCATCAAAATAGAAGAAGTCCAAAAGAATAATCAAAACAGGCAAAAGGTCGGCAGGAAATGACAATTAGAAAGGAGAAGAGGGGGGAGAAAAACGAAACATACGGAAAAGGAAAAGCGATCCGGCAAAATTAGAGAAGACAGCAGCAGGAGCATAAGGCTACAAAAGTTCAGAGGACTGTCCCATGGAGCATCACACTCTGGCAGCAGACCACCAAGCCCCCCTCACAGTGCCCACGGGCCGGATAGGGAGAGTGTTATAATAATAAACCCTGCACCGAGAGTAGAAAAACCCAGGCGGGGTCCAGCAGGGCCAGAGGCCCCCAAGTCAGCCCCTCCTCCGCCCCAGGATCCTCCTCTGCAGGACCCGGGGCCAAATCATCCCCCAGAGCACCAGCCCCTAAGGAATAAGCCGGCGCAGCCAAGTAAGCCGGACAGAAGGGGACCCACTGGTCAGACCCCAGAGGCTTCGGCAGGGGGATTGAACTCAAAAGCCTCCGTCGCCACACCGGAAGGGGCATCCCCTGAGACCGCACAAGTCTCAAGACCATCTAAACCCTGCCCCAACTCTGAAACCCTCAGACATTTCGGAGCCGGAAGCAGGGAGGTTGGGGGGGGGGGGGGAGGGACCAGAACGAACCACAAAAGGGGAAGGACGAGAGGGCGCGGACTGAACCAAGGTCGAAGTGACCCCCACCCCCAAGTCCGGGTCCCTATAGGCAAAACAGGGCAGCCTCGGGGCATCCGGGTGAGCAAGCAACCTAGCGCGATGCAACAACATAAAGTGCACATGCAACACCTGCGCCGCCTGTACCCGTAGAACATCATCATGAGATTGAGTAAACTGAGTCACTAGCAAGCAACAGAACTCGCAGGACTTCAGGTTGAAAGTGTCACTGACCCAACAGGCAGTGTGACGGAGGCAAAAACAGTGAGGGTCACCCTGAGACAAGGGGACCGAGCAACCCTCAAACAACAGTGACTGTATACTAATCAATAACTTCGATTGATAGACTATATATATATATATATATATATATATATATATATATATATATATATATATATATATATATATATATATATATATATATATATATTATTAAATATGACCGAAAAAGTAAGATTAATAATTCTAACACGAATTTTCTCGATGTTTCTTATATTTCTTTTCACTGTTGGTGGCAACTGAAAAATCAATTCTCCAAAATTCATTTTTATTTCTAGTCTGACACGACACTTGAACGCGTTTCGTAAAACTTATTGCATTTTTAAAGACTTTAGTTTATACACACACAACTATAACTGAACAGAGTTTAAACAGCTTCGATTTTATACCTGCATTTGGGTGAGGTGATATGTTACAACAGTTTTGGATGAGGTGAAAACAAACTTTCAACACAAGACAGAACACGAAACAATGGGTATAATATTTTGTAAGTTAAAGGGAAGAATGGAAGTAACTGTAAAGGGCCTATTGGCCCATATTTCTTGATGCTTCTATATTGGTGCGGAGTCTTGAAGTGGGTAGAATATAGTTGTGCATTAATTGGCTGTTGATTGCTGATGTTGACTTCTTAATGTGTAGTGCCTCGCAGATATCAAGCCGCCTGCTATCGCTCTATCTATCGATGATTTCCGTGTTTTTTGTTAAGACTTCTCTGGTGATGGTCTGGTTGTGGGAAGAGATTATATGTTCCTTAATGGAGCCCAGTTGCTTATGCATCGTTAATCGCCTGGAAAGAGATGTTGTTGTCTTGCCTATATACTGAATTCTTTGAGGCTTACAGTCCCCAAGTGGGCATTTGAAGGCATAGACGACATTGGTCTCTTTTAAAGCGTTCTGCTTTGTGTCTGGAGAGTTTCTCATGAGTAGGTTGGCCATTTTCTTGGTTTTATAGTAGATCGTCAATTGTGTCTTCTGATTTTTGTCTGTAGGGATAACGTTTCTATTAACAATATCTTTCAGGACCCTTTCCTCCGTTTTATGAGCTGTGGAAAAGAAGTTCCTGTAAAATAGTCTAATAGGGGGCACAGGTGTTGTGTTAGTTCTCTTCAGAGGTTGCATGGCATTGCAACAGTTTAACCAGCTGCATGGCGTTGCATGGAAGGTGAAGGAGCATCACACTCCGGCAGCCGCCCACTAAGCCCCCACACGGCAACAACGAGCTGAGCGGGGAGGGGGTCAACAACACAAGTACCATTTTCATGTTTAAGAATGATCTCTTGTTTTTCCTCTATGGTCATTCTTACATATGTTTTCATATGTTGAACCTTACCACTGACTTTCTTGGGACCCATGGTGTGATATATAATAATCAGTTTTATGCTCAAAAAGCAAAAAATCACCACAAAAATGGAATTTCTCATCACTAAGTGGGCGGCTCTAGTAAACTGAGGCAGGTCGGCCCGCGTGACCGGGAACCATGCGCTCTGTCGACCTGAACGTGTATCAACAATTATCATTATTTGACGACACTGTCGTAAGTCGTGTCAAATTTTTCTATCAAATTTATATCGCAACTCAAAATTATAGTAAACCAGGGCAATCTTAAGTCGAGGTGCCACTTTATATATATGTCTATGACACTATTTTATGTCAATGAATGTCTCATTATGAAAATATCTCAAACTGTTTCCTACTTGCTGCTCCATTGTTAAATAAAATGATTATTACAAATAATAAAGCACAAATTACAGTACTGTACAATAAATCTCAATGTCACATGCAGCAGAACTTTACCATGCATGGTGATAGCATGATATTTTTGTGATGAAGCTCATAATTTTCCAACTGCCTTGGAATAATGGTAAGTTAACATACTAATATGTGCCTCATTATACTTTAACATTTTCTGAAATTTCTCCCACATTCAAAATGTTTAGCTGATCACCCAAATGTACCATCATGTAGCTTTTCATAAATCCAAGATAACTGAAAATCTTACCATATTCTCAACACTTGAGAGGTGTTATGCATATCATCAATATACACTAACGCATGTTTTATTATAGCACTACGTTCCTTAAATATTTTACCACACTTGGAACACTTAAAATGAGTTTCAATGGAATGCACCAACAAGTGCCTCCTCATATTTTCAAGATGATGGAATCTTTTCCGACACTCTGGACACTCATAAAGATTGTCAGCCTTATGCACTAACATATGAGTCTTCACATTTCTTGCTGTTTGCATCTTTTTCCAACACACTGGACACTCATGATGTTTATCACCTGTATGCACTAACATGCGAATCTTTATATTTCTAAGATGACTGAACTTCTTCCCACACTCTGGACATTGGTGAGATTTTATCTTCTTTATTATAGGTGCAGTTTGTGTCAAGGTTTTCCCTTAATGCTGCTGATTTCGGAGCCATGATGGCAGTGGTGCTGGCTGTGACCTGGCATTTCCTTGAATGATAAAATGCAATGCCATGTGGCTACATAAGCGTTGATTGTCAGTGGAAAAGAATGCACCTTGAAGTGAATAAATGCATTGATAGGAAGATGTTCAGGGGACGCCTGAACATCTGACAGTCTGGACTGTCTGACGACGGTATCGAGAGCCAAGGGGGTAATGTCAAGTCACGTGGTCCAGCGGAGGTGGCGTCCACATTTGGTCGGTGTTGTTATTAATCTTATAATGGCAGTGTTTTTTTCCAATTGCCTAAAAGACAATTCAAACCACTATGGGAGGATTTTAACGTGGATGTAGTAATTATCCCCCTGCAAAATAAAAAAAGCATGTATGAGATAAGAGAGCTGAGAGACACCATAATATTGAATAATTAAAAAATTACCTACAGAAAACACTCTACATGTATATTGTGATGGGTCAGTAGCTAAGGATGGAAAGACAGGATCTGGAGTTTTGGTTAGTATTAGGAGGGGGATGGGGGGAGGAGGGAGGCCCACTCATCCGAGCTGGCTGCCCAGCAAACACAAATCATCTAGGAAACGTTCGTCTATCTCTTCCCATAGGTGTGGGAATGATTTGCATTGAGAATGGTGCAGGAGAGCCTTTGAGAAACTTTTAATAAAAAAATCCAAACTCAAAGGTTTTATAATAAATTATTTTTCTACAACTATTTTGTATTTTGTTCCTAATGTATTACAAATAGTTTTTACATGTTTAAATATAAAATTCATAGTGTTATTTTGTAAAATTCATTAATAAATTGTGAATGATATTTATTGGCTCAGTGAAACGTTCAAAATCCATTTAGTTATAATATATGATCAGAAAAAAGTAGTTTTCCAAATTTTCTAAAAATCGCTTTTTACACAATTTGACTCCTTATGCATTCCACTAAACACTAATATCATGTTTAAATATATAATTTATGTATTATTCCCAAAAATAATTTATATAAATTATAAAAGTTGCTGGAAAGTGGTGTGAAAGAATCTGAAAACTTTTTGTTGTCTTATATATTGGCGTGTTCTTATTACTATGTCTCAAGTGCACAGTTTATCAAACAAGAAGATTAACATTCGTCAACCCTTAAAATCTTATATGTTATCTTGCTGGTGCAAAATGGGTGAATCTTTAGGAACAGCTAGTATCTATATGACAAATGGTGTTTTCCCTAACTCAAACAATGTAGGGTTTATTATTCTACACATATTTCTAATGACTCTTAGATGTTTACATTCTCTGAAGTATAATTGTGAAGGCTGTGTCCATCACTCTCAACACAGATTCTTAAACTCCTCTCTGCAGGTTCAACTATATAATTAGTTTCCATTCTGAATCTCCATGGACATTTGTATCCAAAATGAAACCAATGTGGTTTCCTTCAGCGCCTTCAGCCAGCACATTTGCTCATTCATTTCCACAGATTCCAACATGGTAGGGGATTTACAGAAATTTGGATATTCATATTGTTATATATTAAAAATATGAATGCAGTTCCATATGATAAGACAAATACATGAGTTTATGATAAATTCGTTTTCTGTGATATAACATTGATATGCTCTTTTTTTCTTTAAACGGCAGACTAAACTAAATCACGATCAAAAGTATATATTGCTTTTTAAGAATTAAGCTCCCCCACTGACCGCCAATTAACACTTTCGCACTTTCCGCGAAGGTCACTTAGCCAACCGAATGTGCGCGCGGCGTTTTTATCGCTTAAGCGTAAAAACAAAAATGTGTATACTCTTTTTACTCTTCTGACCTTAGTTCTCATGCTACGTATTTCATTTTGGTACCAACGTGTTCGCAATAAAATTCTCTAGAAGAACATCAGTAAAAAAAGTCACGAAACGTATAGGGATACCAGCACCAAATAAATAACTACGAAGATGACTCGCCGTGAGCGCGCATCAGCAACAAAATGTTTTTACTCTTGGGATTGTAATCACCTCCACACTTATTCTACAGCGTTAATTTTGGTATCAATGGACTCGCAATGAAATTCCCAACACGGTGATATGAATATAAGCGTAGAATAATGATGCGGCCCGCCCGCAAGAGTGTGGGAAGTGGTGAAATTGTTACCCGGTATCGGTGACGGGACGACGCACGGCGCTTTGAAAGTTTATACTTATTTCACTCTCATGACATTAATTTTCTATGTACGTCATTCATTTTTGTGTCAATGTGTTCGCAATAGAATGTTCTATGTGCCCATAGGTAAAAAATATCAACAAAGCGTAAGTTAGAATAGCGCCAAATATAAAACAACGCTGGAACATATCAGTGAGCGTCAAACACACACGAAATGTTTTTACTTTTGTTATGTTTGTCAAGTTTATACTTGTTGCACACAGTTATTTTTGGTTGTATATTGATCGGAATAAAATTCCCTAAACAGACATATGCATATAATACATGATATGGGGGAAGCATTACCAGTATAAACGGCTAAAGTCACCCACCTGCAACCCGTTTGGGACAAAATACCATTTGATCGAAGTTATCCACACCTTTCATGAACTTATTGTACCATGCAGCCTAGTGGTGAGAAAGAGAGCCTCATAGCGCGCAGTTTGAAACAAACCCAAAGTAAATCGGATAAAAATTGAATTTTATACAAATATTTTAAAAGAGGACTCAACTTTATGTCCACTATGCGTTAGCGTTAGACGAAACGGGACGCGCCGGCGCGTCCAGATAGCGCGAAAGTGTTAAGTGCTCACATCAACAGAGTTGATGTATAAATGGTCAACGCTCAACAGAGTTAGTATAAATGGGATTAAGTCGGAGTTGGAAAATGTTGTAGGTTGAGTACCTCAAAGCTCTGTCCTGGGACCTCTGTTGTTTATAATACTCAAATCAAATCAAATGTTTATTTAGGTAAGGTACATACATACAAGAGATTTTACAAAGAGTAATGAGTTTATAGATAGGGCTAGTACATACAATGCCTAAAGCCACTATTACGCAAAGCGTTTCGGGCATGAAAAACTAAAATGACTAAAGCTTAATACTAATTGAGCATAAAGAATAAAAAGAGTTGAGAACAAAAAAAAAAAAAGAGATAAAAAGGGGGGAACATGGCTGAAAGCAGCACAAATACAATTCGGTCGACAAACAGCGTCATTTAAAAAAAAAACAGACAGTGCTAAATACTGTATATATAAATGATTTAGATTCAGGTTTGAGTAACAACATTTGCAAATTTGCCGATGATACAAAAATTGGTAGGGAAATAACACAGAAGAAGACTCACTATCTCTTCAAGTTGATCTAAATAGTTTTGAAATGGGCAAAAGGTTGACAGATGCAGTTCAATGCTGATAAATGTAATGTTTTGAGGTTAGGTAATGATATGATAGAGTTACAAGATACGAGATAGATGGTGTTGTGATTGCGAAGTCGGGTATTTCGAAAGGGAACTTGGAGTTATGATTAGTAAGAATTTAAAACCAAAAGATCAATGCATGAATGTTCGTAATAAGGCAAATAGTACACTAAGATTTATTAATCGAAGGGTTAATAACAAGACACCTGGTTTTTTTCTTTAGCTATATCTTGCTCTTTAAAGCTATTCATTCCCGTGCCGTCTCTTGGGTGGCTTAATTCTTATCAATCAATCAATTTGTTGCTCTGGTCAGGCCCCATTTTGATTATGCAGTTCAGTTTTGGTCGCTGAACTCTGAACTGATATAAATTCACTTGAACGTATCCAGCATAGAATGACAAAGTTAATTCCTCAATTGCATTCACTGAAACGGCAAAGAGTTAGGTGTGACATGATAGAGGTTTACAAGTTGATGAATGGACATAATAAATGGGATTTTAAAAGTATCAGCACCAGACGAAATAATGAGTATAAATTGCATAAGTTTAGATTTAGGAAAGACCTGGGAAAATACTGGTTCGGTAACAGGGTAGTTGATTTGTGGAACAAATTACCGCCAAACGTGGTGGAGTCCATTGATTGTTTCAAACGTGGGTTCGACATGTATATGAGTGGGCTTGGGTGGTTATAAGAGTGGAAAAATGTTGTAAGCGGAGTGCCTCAAGCCTCTGGACTGGGACCTCTGTTGTTTATAATAAATATAAATATTTTAGATTAAGGTTTGAGTAGCCGCATTTGCAAATTTACCGATGATACAAAAATCGAATATAAAAAAATATCAAAATATCAAAAATCGAAAATCCAATATATGATCTGTCTCGGTCTTTAATGGACCTATCCTTTCCCTAACCTTTGTTCGATATAACTGAAAAAATCTTTAGAATTTGCCTTTGCTTAACCTGCTATACGAACTTCAGATTTTCTTTTTTTTTCAACTTCATAGTGGTGGAGGAATTATTTTTCGAACTTCATAGTAGTGGAGGTGGGCTGCCTCGATTGTTTCAAGCGCGGGTTAGACATGTATATTAGTAGGATTGGGTGGTATAGATAGGAGCTGCCTGGTATGGGCCAATAGGCCTTCTGCAGTTACCTTTGTTCTTATGTTTTTGCCCTGTAACCTAAATGGTTACAGAGGCACATATATGGGCTTAGGGACTGAACCCCACAATACATTTAGCTAAGCTGGTTACAATCTTGATGATATAGTTACAAAATTCAGTATAATTCGTCACATTATCAATGGGTTCGAGATCAACCACAATTACAGTTTCTATGCAAGCGATGAGTCACAATAACCTAGCTAAAGTATGTTGACCAGACCACACACTAGAAGGTGAAGGGATGACGACGTTTCGGTCCTGGACCATTCTCAAGTCGACAATCGACTTGAGAATGGTCCAGGACTTACCGAAACTTCGTCGTCCCTTCGCCTTCTAGTGTGTGGTCTGGTCATACAGTTTCTAAATTAAGCAATAGGCAGAATCAGATTGTAGAATATATAGTTTAGTAGTAGAGTAGTTTACCACATCACATTGTTTGGATGTGTGATAATTGTATGATAGACAGTATGTTAAATGTGTTTTTTGTACTGTGATTTGTGTATTTGTACCCTATAATATATATAATATAATATATTTGTGTCACAAGTGATACAAAGAGGTGTCACAAGTGACATTACAAGAGGCTCACAACAGTCACTATACAAGGCACTTTACATCTATAGTGAGTCACACAGTATAATGTCAGTGGTATGTGCGCGTGGCGTTTTTGTCACTTAAGCGTCAAAACAAAAATGTGTATACTCTTTTTACTCTCCTGACCTTAGTTCTTGAGCTACGTATTTCATTTTGTTACCAACGTGTTCGCAATACAATTTTCTAGAAGAACATCAGTAAAAAAAGTCACGAAAGGTAT